GCATACATTTGTTTTTCTCCAATATTATCTTTAGCTGTGAAAACAAATACCCAATACGAAATGTTTACAAAACAGAAATGAAATTATTCAGAATTGAATTTCGATTGATTATAAAATGGTGTATTTAATTGAAAATGGAAAATCTGGGTATAATGGTTTTCTTTTTTAATATAAATATACATATTTAAAACATTTAGAAGAATACATGCACAACATTTTTTTTATATATGTATTTTATATATGTATTTTTATATATGTATTTTTTTTTATATTTGTATCGTAATGAAAACATTTATACATATATGCATATGTACTTATGTATATATATTTGTATTATTTTTATTAATTTTATCTAAGCAAATGTAAAAAAATTCTGACAGCCCCGTTCAGTCAAACTAAATAAACACAAATTTGTAATTACAGAAAAGATTCTTCCAGATGAAGCCCTAATCAATTGCCAATTTACAATCATATTTGCCCATGGCAAATGTCAATTCTGATTTGGCATTGAGTCGAGCTGATGGAGCGGAGATGGAAGTTGTTTGGGTGCAGTTAATTGATTCGTGGCGCATATCAAATGCAATTCGCTGCCCAAATTGGCAACATACGATTGAAGGCTTCTCTCTCGATTTTTCCCCTCCCCCTGCCCCACCCTCTCGCTGTCTATAATTTGAGGCTAGTCACATTTCCTTTCACAACGAATTAGCCAACTGGCAGGCAGGCAGTTGGAGAACGAAAGCACGGGCTAAATTGAATCAAATCAGCGGCGCTGGCAGAGGGCGAGTGGGGGAGGGCGAGCTCATGTGAAAATATGCATGTGGAGCCATCCCGGAAGTTTCCGCTAGGCTGCACAGGCGGCCGAGGGGGCTGAGTGGGTGGGTGGGAAAACTGTGGCGTCTGTCGACAGTTACAATGTTGTTACAATTTTTTGAAGTTACCCAGCAATTGCTCAGCGCTGCATGCAACGTGTTGCATGTGTTTTTACTAAGACTCTTTGTTGTTGTTGTTGGCCATTTCAACATCATATTTATGCAAAGCTCTTGCTGCTGTTGCCACAGCGTTAGATGTGGCAAGCAATAATAATAATAAAGGTAGCAGCACACATACCCACCCACTCGGCCCAGGTCTGACTGCAATCTTACAGTCGATCTGCAGTCAACGGTCAAATGCTCTCTGGCTGAAGTTGTTTTCATTATCTTTGAGAAATAGTGGTAGGAAATTCCTCGCATAATTTTTCTAAGCAAAACAATTACACAGATCCCACACTTGGGGCGAAAAAGTTAAGCGGGCACGTCACCTGAACCTGAGAACCAAATAAATGCCATAATATCATGACAAGGGCCCATCAAAAGTCGCCTGGCCCACTAGGCCAACGGATCTGCTCAATTAGTCGCGATGTAAGGCAATTTCCGGTATTTAACAGAAAAGAAAAACACACACATACAAACACTCAAACAAACCGAAAGCAATGCCAAGCTATTTGGCTAAGCAAAGTTTCCCCCCTTAGCTCAGTCTCATATTACCTACTCTGGGACCCGTTCCCAATACACCTTTCTCTCTCTCTCTCATTGTTGTTTGTGTCTCTTTCTGTTTCTTAGCTTGACATGCGAGTGACAAGTTAAACGTCAGTTTCATAATTGCTTATGACTCTTAAATAAATCTGGTATCAGATTTCGCAACACACACACTCACACACACACACATGGGCCACCCAATTGAATGGTGTGAAAAAGATAGCAATAGCTAGAGAAGTGAACGCATAACTCAGCACGATTGTTATTTTTAGTTAATGGTCGGAATATTATTTATGTATTTTTTGTAGATGCGGAAATCTTTTTACGTTTCTCTTGCCACACTCTGAACATGCTACGCTTGCCACATGGCCCGCAATGCAGGCGAAACTATTTCTATTTATTATTTTGAACACTTTGCGATTCCATTTGAAACTTTGTGCAACAACAAAAATAAAAATAAAAAAAAAAAATAAAAAATAAAATAAAAGCCGTTGTGTTGGGGCAATGCTCGTGCGTGGGTTCACATGGCATCGTATCATAGATTGTAGCGAGGGCAATCAGCGCCAGCTGCTGCGTGTCGTCCCTGTTGCCATTGACGTTTTTCTCTTTTTTTTTGCTGTTGTTTACTTGGCCAAAATATAGGTGAATAGACACGGGCATATGTCAACGCGGAAAATGTCACAGCCAAAATAAAAATATTTGTTGCTCTTAAAAAAGTTGTAAAAATAAATATTACTAAATTGGAAAATATTTTTATTTCCTTTTTAATATCATTATTTATTTATATTTTTTTGATGGAAGGCCTTAAACAGGGAAACTTTTTAGAATGTCAACGGAAGAACGGAAAGGTTTACTGGTATTTGGTTTGGCTAACTTTAGGAAAT